GTGTGACTGAGTTAGGGTGATGGTGCGCCGTGCTCTGTCCCGGGTGATCTGCAAGCCAAGATAGCTCCGCAGCTCACCCAGGTCAGTGCAGGTGTGTCTCTCCTGCAGCTCCGCCTTCACTAGGGCCAGTGCCTCAGTGTCAGCAGTAGCAAAAACCAAGTCGTCAACGTACACGAGGATGTAGAACGGCGGCAGAGAAGTGTCGGTGCGTAGAAACAGCGACGGGTCAGCAGTCGAAGGAGCAAACCCAAGAGCCGCAAGTGTCGTCCTCAGTGTGTCGTGCCACTCGCGGGGCGCCTGACGCAGGCCGTACACTGGTCTCCGTAGGCTCCACTGGGTACCCTCAGGAAACGACCCAGTGAAGCCCGGTGGACGGCGCAACCAGATGGCCTCGTGAAGGCTACCCTGTAAGAAAGCTGTCGAGAAGTCGAGGGAGTGCAGCTCGTAGTCACGCTGAGCTGCAACGTGTAGCAACACCCGAAGAGTGGTCATCTTCGGGGTGGGGGAGAAGGTCTGAAAGAAGTCAACCCCCTCACGCTGACTGAAGCCTCGAGCAACGTAACGTGCCTTGAAGGCAGGCGGAGAACCCGGCGGCCGCTTCACCCTGAAAATCCACATGCCACTGACGATGTTCGCCCCAGGTGGGGGAACCTCGTCGACGTAGGTGCCTGTGGACTTCCAGGAAGCCATCTCTGCATCCATGGCTGTCTGCCACTGAGAGGAGTACTCACCCGAAATCGCCTCCCTGTAGGAGCGCGGGGTGGGGATGTCAAGTGCATCCGGGTCTCCTTCAGGGGCAAGCAGCATGGTCGCGTTATGGGGTGAAGCGGCAGCAAGGCACTCCAGCTCCTCCTGTCTGTCCTCAAGAACGTCACAGCCAAGGGCAGTACAGCCAAGAGCAGTCTCACCCCCGACGGACGGAGGACAGGCAGGGACAGGGTCAGAGACAAGACTCGCAAGGTAGTCTAGGCGGTACACAGCAGCAAAGTCAACGAGCTCAGCTACTAGGGCAGACGCAGCAGGAGACGAGAGCGAAGGGTCCGTCACAACCGTAGCAAGAAGGCGAGTAACAGTCGGACTGGACGCACGAGCAAGGTCAGACGGAGGGTCAGCAACGTCAGGCAGAGAGGACGCAGGAGGTAACGGTAGGACAACACGCTGAGGAACAGAGGAAGGACGGAGTATCATATCGTGAGAGCCGGGGACAACCGGAGCACGCTGACGACGAACACGAGGAACACGAGCACGGACAGCAACTCTAGGCTCAGGCTCAAGGTCAAAGCTAGACTCAGGCTCTCGACGCTCAAGGGTGGAAGCACGAGTCGCAGGCTCTCGACGCTCAGTCAGGGACTCTGACACCGCAGTGTAAGGAGCAGGAGCAGGCAGTGGGGAGTGTGGTAGCAGCGGTGGTTGTGACTGGTCCGCCGGTGGACACAGCAACGGAGGAGTAGTACCTGCCACAGGGAAGCCAGTAGCACCTGGCTGAAGACTGAGAAGGTGGCGAAGAGCACCAGTAGCTCCACCAGGACCTCCAGCACCTCCAGCACCTCCAGCCCCAGCAGCTCCAGCACCTCCAGCACCAGCAGCACCTCCAGTACCAGCAACACCAGCAGCTCCACGACCTCCAGCACCAGAAGCACCTCCAGTACCTCCAGCACCAGCAGCACCTCCAGGACCAGCAGCACCAGCAGCTCCCCGACCTCCAGCACCAGCAGCACCTCGAGTAGCTCCACCAGGACCTCCAGCACCTCCAGCCCCAGCAGCACCTCCAGCACCAGGAGCTCCACGACCTCCAGCACAAGCAGCACCTCCAGTACCTCCAGCACCAGCAGCTCCACGACCTCCAGCACTAGCAGCACCCCCAGGCTCTCCAGCACCAGCAGCTCCAGGTCCTCCGGTAGGAGCTCCGACGACACCAACACCAGACGGACTCGCAGCACCCCCAGAGTCAGCACCCGAACTCGCAGCACCCCCAGAGTCAGCACCCGAACTCGCAGCACCCCCAGAGTCAGGACTCTCGGTCTCAGCACTCGCAGGCTCAGTACCCTCAGTCCCAGCACCCCCAGGCTCAGTACCCTCAGTCTCTGCTCCAGTGTCCACAGCAGCAGGCTGCAGAGGCGGCGAAGACGGCAGAGGTGGGAACCCGGGGGGGGTAGCCAGACGAGGAGAGCGGGCACCCCCAGACTCACCACCCCCAGCCCCAGCTCCAGAAGTCTCAGCTCCAGAGTCCACAGCAGCAGGCTGCGGAAGCGGCGAAGACGGCCGTGGCGGGAAACCCGGGGGGGTCTCCAAGCGAGGAGTGCGGCGAGTGGTCGCCGTGTCGTCGGCGACGGCGTCACCCCCCTCAGGTGAGTCAGAGGAGTCAGAAGAGATCTCAACAGGCTCATCCAAGGGGGGTGGGTCTACCTGGGACACACCTGAGGGAGCAGGACCCTGTGGGGGAAGGGGGTCTACCGGGGGGGGGACTGGCACCAGGAAGAGAGGTGCGAGGGGGACTGGGTGGGACGCGTGCGGGTGAAGTCGGTAGTAACAGACCGACTCGTCGAAGGTGACGTCCTGAGAGGACAGAACACGACGCGAGGCAGGGTGGTAGAACTGCCAGGGTGGAGCGTCGGTGGGGAAGCCCAGGAAGACACAGCGGAGAGTGCGAGGAGAGAGCTTGCTCGCTTTGGTATCGCGAACAAGGGAGAGCGCGCCCCAGACCCGAAACGACGACGCATCACCAGGCTGTCCCGTCCAACGAACTGTGGGCGAGGTCTCTGGAGCAGAGACACGGGGCCAGAGGTTGAGCTGATGCGCGGCGTATCGGACTGCAAACGGCCACAGGAAATGGGGAGCAGCCGCATGGATCATGGAGGTACGAGCAACCTCCATGATCAGGCCAATGCGACGCTCAGCGATCCCATTTTGCTGCGGAGAGGCCGGAAGCGTGAACGACTGGGCGGTGCCCTCATCCTGGCAGAACGTCGCAAGGACGCCATAAGAGAACTCACCACCCCTGTCAGAGTGCAGACGCAGGACTGAGAAGTCTTGCTGAAAGCGCTCGTGTAGCTGGAGACGAGTAGCACGGATCCAGGGGATCAAAACACCGCTGACGTCCGCCTTGCGACGCAAGGGGAAGACTGTGGTGTAGCGTGTGTAGTCGTCAACAACCAGCAGGAAGTAGCGCTCCTGGTCCGTCCCACCGATGGGGGCCGGGCCCCACACGTCCAGGTGGAGAGTCTGCAGAGGAGCATTGGTCGGAGGAAACTCGGAGGAATGAGGAGCGGCGCGCTGCCGCCCCTCGACGCAAGGAAGGCACGGCGGCGCAAGTGAGCGCGGGAGGGGGGGCAGGGTCTCAGGGAGGCCAGTGACCAGGAGCCGGGAGTGCATGCCGCGCAGACGCTGCAGGGAGGGGTGACCAAGACGGTGGTGCCAGCGCTGAGTCTCGTGCGTGAGTACTCTGCACGGGCAAGACGCAGCTAACTGCCCTGACGCAGACGCTCGACTCGACGCAGCTACCTGACCAGACTCAGCCACCTGTGCAGACGCAGTGGTCAGTGTGTACAGACTAGACCCAGGCTGTCGAGTGAACGTAGCCAGGTGACGGCCAGTCCGGGAGCACGTACAGATCGCCACACGCTGCCCTCCAGGAATAAAGGTATCAACCCAGACATCCTGAATGGCAGCGTTGCTCACCAAGTTCGTCGAGAATGTGGGGAGGTGGAGACCTGACAAAGAGCCGGAGGGGACTGCTGGACAAGGGAGGACCGTGGAGGCTCTCGTAACTACTGGGCCCCCAGAGGGGTCAGCCAGTGAGACTGGGACAGGTGCTGTGAGTGGTGTGACTGTGGTGCAATCACGAAAGAAGCAACGTGACGCGCCAGAGTCAAGCGTGAAAGTGTGCAAGACCTCAGCTGAGGCAGGACCTGTGGCAGTAGACGCACTAGCACCTAGAGCGTCGGCAGACTCACGGGCACCTAGAGCTGCAGCAGACTCACTAGCACCTGGAGCGGCAGCAGACTCACTAGCACCTGGAGTGGCAGCAGACTCACTAACACCTGGAGCAGCGGTCCTAACAGAACGATAACCTCCACCACCAGGACGACCTCGCTGAATAACCCACTCACGAAGCTGCCGAGGGGTGGGGTCGTCCGGGAGAAGCAGTGCCTGCTGCTGTCCACCCCTGGCCGCAGCAACTGCCGCGGAAGTGGCCATGACAGACAGTGACTGTCAGGAGTAGTTCCAGCACCTCCAGCTCCTACAGCGCCAGCAGCACCTCCTGCACTCCCAGCAACACCTCCTCCACTCCCAGTAGCACAAGTAGCAGCAGCAGCAGTAGTAACAGCAGCAGGGCGGTTCGGTGGGGCTGGGAGGCCGCACCTCCACCACTCCCAGCAGGACTCCCTCCAGCAGCAGCAGTAGCAGGGCGGCTCGGGCAGCAGCAGCAGCAGCAGCAGCAGTAGACCGAGTAGCA